AGGACTGAAATCTTGGCTTCCAGGCACAGAGCTGCCAGCTCTGTCAGCAGTCACTTCTCCTCAGCAGTTTCTCCTGAGTGGAGCCTGCTCATTTGCAATGATTTAAATTCTACTGCAGAATTTTTATTTTTTTTACTGTCCCAGTCAAAGGAAAGTCTAAATCATCTTGACAGAGATCTAGAACTTTCCAGGCATCCATATTCATCAGGAATGCAAAATCCTGACATCAGAGAACAATAGCTCTGGGTTATTTCTTTTTAAAGAAAAAAATACTACCTATGTGATTTCCCTGGGAGAAATCTACTTTTATTCAAGATGACAGAAACATATTTGAAAGATTGTATTATGTAGCTATACCTTTTTCCTTACATGACAATATCTTCACAGCCAGGTTCTATGCAAAAGTAACAGATGAGCTCACCAGTTCATTGGATGAAGTCCCAACTATCTTAATAGAACTAATAGTTTCAAGTAGTAGTAGTTCCCCTCTGCCTTCATTCCAAGCTATAGACCAGAACAGCTCCCGCTGTTTCCAAATGGCAACTGAAATATAAATTTCCTCTCTCCCGTTACGACCCTTGTATATAATATCTTCCAAATCATATATGTACAACTAGTATGTAATATTCACAAAGATCACTAGAATAGAGCCTACCCTTACCTGTTTTAATGTCCTCTCCATATCAATTCCTTGACCCCATGGGGCTGCAGGGTTAGCAAGACAATCACCAGCATTTCCTCTCCTTGAAATATCAATTTTCTGTCTTCTAAGATTACGGAAAGTTTCAGCCATCACAAGTACTCCATCATACGTTAGTGCAGATGTATACTAAATAGATGGACAAACACATCACTTTTTTAGGTCTTTACTAAAATCAGCTGTCTCAGATATTTCTAGTTTGATACATTATGCAGCAGTTTCTACACTTTTGTTTAGAAAAAACTCTCTTCAAAATCAAAAGCAATTTTTTCTAACGAACAAATGCAGAACTGAGAAGAGTACATTTCAGTAGCTTCAACTTTAAAACTGTATTTCTTGAGGGTAGAGAAATCTGCCTCTGAAGAATCATTAAAAGAAACAAATTAAACTGGAGATATTCAAGTCCTGCATTTTTTCCCAGTTGTCTTGTACGTTAGGGAATAACCTCCCCCACCCAACTTACTCAAAAGAAAAGAAAGAAATAGTAACTCATTGAGAAAACACAACTGAAAAAATGCACAGCTAATGTACAGACACCCAGGCTACTGGAATTGTTAAGGATGATCAAGGGTATGTTCTTCCTATTGGAAAACCTGCGTTGGCTCTCTGAACAACACAGGGCACTGAATGGTCTGTGTTTCTGTGCTAACTACAGTAACTGCTTTAGGTTGAGGACATGCCAAATGAAACCTGTAGAGCAAGTCTTCAACAGATGTTAGCCTGGAGCCACGTAAACAAAGGGGCGTTTTCTCAGTATGGTCCTCTGATGAACACATTGCACCCAGAGAAGTTGTTCACATGCCCAGGGCTGCTATTGATACGCCCTGTAACTTCCAAAATCTAAATTCACTTACTCAAGTCTAATTTCCTTCCTTTCCTTTGTATGGCATATTATAAGCTCTTTGGGACATGGTTTATCTTTATAATCGCAAATTTTGGTAATCCATGCTCTTTGGGACATGGTTTATCTTTATAATCGCAAATTTTGGTAATCCATAGGTGAATTATGTGAGATTCAGATTAACCAATTGTGCTGACTTCTCAGAAGGAGACAGCACAATCCTGTTCATGTGACGAGGAGTCCCATAGGTTAAATCACTCCTGTCACCAGTACTTGGGGATGTCTGTGCTCCATAGCCCACAACATCCTTGTTGGTTTTTTTTTCCCCTCCAGAACATAAATTTATTGAATATTCCCTGAATTATGTAGCTATGTTTTGTTTTATCTCTATTGATACCTTCTGTAGGCTTTGCCAACCTAGCAATCTTCCAGCCAAGGCAGGGCTGATTGCTTATCTTTGCACAGTGCCCAGCACAAAGGAGCCCAGTATCAACTGGGTCTAATATGCATTAGTATATACATTAGCAGAACTATTTTGATGAAGTCATATTTATAGCTATGCTGTGATTTGCCTGCCAAGAAAATTACAGGTGAGAGAAATATTTTGTTATCCATCTGTGAGGGATTAAGATAGAGGAACACTGGGATGTAATTTCCCTGTAAGATCATACCTGAAAGTGATTACTGCACCAGGTTTTGAGGTGGGTAGAATTTCCAGAGGAAATCCCAAATGAAAATTTAAGGGTAGAAAATTTACAATTGTGGTTGCATCTCATATACAGAAGAATTCAGCTGTCAGGAAAGCTCTGCACTCTGAGTGAATCTAGATAATTAGAATAATTCACATAAAATTGGTTGAAATTAAGTTGTCAGTTAGGCATTTGACCTTTAATTCTTGTCAGTAGAGGGGTGAGGTTGGAAAATAAGTGACAAAAGACATTGAAGTACATCAGTGAAATGTGTTCAAGTTTGTGTTTCTATCATACAATGAGGATAGGCATAATTAGTTGCCAGTAATGGTAAGATCAACTGCCTTCTCCTCTGCCTAAACATTAAGATATTAATTCATGTATTCAACAATGTTAATCAGAAATTGGTACCCTTGAGTGATATCTTTGGTAGTGCTTCTGATCAGCCAGTACCTTTGGTGGGGTCTCAGATCCCGGGTATTCTCTCTGGTCCAGCTTCTTCCAGCGCTGCATCAGCTTAGCTACCATCGGGGTACTGAAATCTACTAGCTGAAATCCAGTCACATTGGCTCCTCCATGCATGAATCTCTCCAGAGAAATATCTTTGAATCCCTAGAAAATCAATTTCAGATTTTGTTTGTCTTCGTACACCACTGTGGGTCCAATCTGCTCTAGGTCAGCAAGGCAGCATAAAGACCGTACAGAAGCAGGTTTCCATTAGAAGCCAAAACTTAAAATCAGAGAATAATGTTGAACTTCTGTTGATAATTTCCATTTGTGTAATAAAGAATGAAACAAAACCAAGAAATAACTTTCCACATTATTGCTAGGATGCTCTTGACAGCTAAGCAACACATTGCTGGGAATGGTAGACAGTTTTTGAAGAAATGCCTTTGGTGAATCAACTGAGAATTGCCTGCAGAATATTAAAGCCTTAATCCATTTTCCATCACAGTTGGCAGATTTGAATGAGTACTGCACTAGTGCTTTCACTAACATATCCCTGTTTCTTTGCATTTTTGTAAAATGAACAACACTATTCTATACATACATCTATTCCAAGATTCATTGTTTAGGCTGAAGGTGTCTGAGATAATGAGATAATATAATAGATATTAGAAGGCAGAGACAGCGCATGAGGATCTCACTGTTAGTGCAAGGAAAACATAACATCAGACTCACACTTCTGTGAAGTATGATGGTGGTAGCTCTCCAATATGCTATATATTGAAAGCCTGGAGTGACGTCCAACATTGACATTAAAAATAAAGTACATATACTTCCTGACTTATTAGTTTCTCAAGTTGATATGTT